CTAACGCGGCATCGGGCGCAGAAGCTGGCTAATTTTCTCCTGAATAAAATAAGTTCATGTCTTTAGCTAATTCCCTTAATCACCGCTACCTTACAGTCTACGGTCAGTGTTCGAAGCGACACTTAACTTGCTAGGTTAACTTGCAACATGATCCGACTTAGCCCAATTTCGGTTAACAACATAAATATTATGCTTAGAAGAAACTTAAATTTTATCCTATGATAATAGACATGCAGACGCAGCAGTGTTTACAGACCAGCCGATAAATAATAGGATCTGAATTTATCTCTGCGAAATGTACATTTAAATAATTAGGGTGCTGGGCGCTGATGCAGGAGACGTGATATACCGTCATTACAAGCATTACATTAATGAAGTGGGTGTGACTTTTTTTTAGAGGTCGGCGAAAATCTAGGGGTCAAATATTACAGAAGCGAACAGGAGCTGGAGAAGAAGAATAGATATATAGTGGTATCCACGATATAATAATGACGCCATGGATTCAAAAAGTTATATTGGATATTTAAAAAGATATATTGTGACATATTTAGTTCAGGCGGTCCCAAGAGTGCTTACGTATAGCATTCGTTCTAAATGTTGTCAGTGTAGGATTCGGCTCAAAGTATTTGTTTTTGTTATCAAGCGCTCCTTAACGGCCTATTGTAAAACTATTGTTAAAACCTTTCATCAAAAGCGTCTTTCTCGTTAGTTAGCGTATACATGCATTCTACGTCCTCCTTGACGTCTATATTTTATTTGTTTTATATACGTGACTCCCGCGACCCGTAGGCAACTGGGTTAGTAGATACGCTAACGACCCGTGCTCACACCCGTATCACTCATTTAATATCAAAACTAGGGATTTCATCCAAAATCCGAGTTGTACACTCTGGATTGAAATCCACCGTTACGACCATTTCTCTACAATTCTTTCGTACATGCCTTGATGTGGTCAGGTTTACTTATCGTTTGTACAACTTGGTAGCTTTAAGGTCTTACGACATTCATCGTGCTAGGGACTGCGCGGGAACCCTGACTGCGGTGCGGCTTTCCCTTGAGATGCTGAAGAAACCCGTGCTTCTTATGCGTCGACTCTTTAATAGTTGTCCTTTTGCAGATTGGGGCGGCGTATAGCATGATGCTATCCATTACGGGTGCAAAAAGGCAGGGTGCGTTGTCTAAGGCCTTCTTGGTCTGCAGGAGCAGGCGTCGACAAGCAAACATATCGGAAAGCATCTACATAGGTAAGAGAGAGAGAAATGCTTGCATCGCCTTGTGCAATGTATCTTGTGGAGAAGCTAATGAGGAACATCGCGCCTTGGAAAACCTCTTAACGACAAGAAATAACCTATACCGTGCCCTAGATACAGTACAAGTTATATTATTATTAGTGTTATTACGGTATTCCAAGAATCTGGAGATATGCCACCATCAAGGAATAATGGCGTCCGGCGACGCTCGATCGCGGTCTATCGTCGAAAAATAATATCGCTGATATTAAATTGTCATACTAACTGGCCAGTTCACCCTGATCCAACTTTGTTGAACAATTTGTCGCAAATTGCCATGTCTAAATAGACAGTTAAACATTTGATGGGAATATTGGAGCATTTCCTCGTATGGTTGCTCACAGACCCAACTTAATCAGTTTAGCCTAATTTTTCCTGACAGTAGTAGGTCGTTGAAATTGGCCGTCGTCAGAGCTTCACTTTAGCACCCACTCTATCAATAATTATGTTATTATCATAGTCTTCAGATTAACAGATTTTGGAAATAATCAGTTCAGTGCTGACAGCGTAGGTCTTTTGTCGTGGACAGCGCGATCAGACGAATTTTGGCACAAATTTTTCGCGCCAGGGATCAGTTGAGGTGGGCATTACTAAAATATCTTTAATATATTGAAGTGCACAATGAGGTTGGATTAACCGATGATTCGTTTGAAGTGTTCATTATGCTTGGCCTCATATTGTAGTTAGTCATTGGCCACGCGCCAAACCGGTCGTAATTAGCGATCAACGGCACGAACATACGTGATGAACCCCGTGAGTGTGTGCAGATCCACTCAATTCAATTATATTCGATTAGAATAAAGTGGAAAACCACGAAAAAACAATTTGCAAAAACAAATCAACGTCCAGTTTAACGTAGGATACAAGTCGTAGCACCGCAGTTCTCAAATTGTAACCTCGCATCGATTTTGGCCCACCGTCATATCCGTCCAGGCGAAGTTTATAAGCCGCAAAGACCCAAAGAATTGGCGACACACTTTACGCGAACCGTTATTAACGGCCTGTGGGTAGACCACAGCTTCGTCGGTCAATCGGGAAGGCTACCTTCATTTCAACCTAATTCGTTTCTTGGCATGACCTAGAAATTCAGGCTAGTGTCGATCTCGAATTAAGGATAAGAAGAAAGAAACGGGACAATATATACGTATCGAGGAAGTTACTTTTACAAAAAATGCTTGCATGGGATGGCTTTAGTTTGTTTAGCTGGACTTGATGGACCTATACCGTTTATGTATCATGACGCGAACAGGACTGACCGTCGTAGTTTTTTGTGGTATACTGTATACAATAATGTGCATATACGATCGGCTCAATTCCAATGTGATTTCAGCCATATAAGTCGGGAGGACGACAATGTGACTGTAGTACAAATTATAGTATGGGTGCATCTAGCCGTATGCAGGAATAATGGTCAATTGAACACTGCACAAATAAAGTTACTTGTGCAGGGTTGTCTATGTGCGCCTGGTACCATTAATATAACTATTATTATTGAGCGGCCAATTAATAGTTTCGATTAAAAAATGAATTTCTTAATAATTGCTTATCCAAATCCAACGAAGTGTTTATTAAGGGGGTGGAAAGGTTACTTGCCCTCAAGCAGCTCGCATGTTTGTTTTTAGTTGTTCGTTATACTAATTTTATTGGAAGTACTGTATATGGAAAAATATATATGGCTCGGTCGGTCAGGGACGCGGGACGTAGACTTCAATCTGAAGTTGTTTGGCGAAAAGTTTTATTAACAGTAATTTAGGCCTATATTAAACATATCCAGTGGAAAGGCCTTCAAATCCGGAAACGCTTTGAGCGTTTATTTATAGATATAAATATCTAATCATCCTACTTTGTTTTCGTACAGAATAAGATAGTCCCAGGTTAGATGAAGCTATTTGGTCACCATCCGTGTCACCGGTTACTGGGCAGCCACCTTAGTCACGAACGTCGCCTATTAGCTTAAATTCATTCTGCATGATTGATTACCAACGGGAATCGGCTACGTTCGACAAATCAGTTTGCTCGTCTACAAAGAGCAACCCTACAAAGATCGTTATGTGGTAACGTGCTAGGTCTCTGTTCGTTTTTGAAGCTAGCCTGCGGCTCAGATTGAATTTTTTCCGGCCTACTGCACAATTCATTTCTTTACCCCAGAAGCAGTAAGAGGACATCATTCTTTTTTACGCTGATGCCTGACAGACGCGTTGCCTTATGTTGTGCAGTAACGATTTTTTTCTTGCGCTCTATACCGCCGCTATACGAAACTAAATTGTGCCGAATAAATTCACAGTTGCAATACTTATTGCTTTATTGTGCCGTACACACCTGAGGCCGCTAAGCTGATTTTAAAAACGGTCAGCCGGAAAACGTTTGCTTGCGACCTGTTTCTGAACGTGACCAAACGTCTCCCGCATATATCGTACTATTAGTTGAGGCTAGTATAGAGTGAAGCTCACAAAGAAAAATCGTTTTCGCGGTTGCGAAAGCTGACAGAAGCACGTGTAAACTTTTTGAGCCGTCAAAGCACTAAAAAGAATTAGAATTCAACAAACTTTTTCGGCTGTTTATCCCACTATAGCGGAAGTCAAGTTGGAAATACGTATCTACTTGCACTAATCCTACTGTGTGAGTTGATGCCCTAATGGAAATTGCAGTAGCGCTCTAAATTTTACTCAAAAATCCAGCCACTTCCTATGAGCGAAAACAGTGTTCAACAGGACACACGTTCATGATCTGGAAACGAACGGATCCGAAGGAATGAAATGATAATAAGTATTTCGTCCCTTCCCCTATAAAGAACTATTTCACAAACATACATTTGCGCTTCAGGCTGTCCTTTGCTACTTAAATCTACTACCTCCCTTAACGCCGTATTGTTCTAGAACGAACTTAAGGTATCACAAGGCTTCTGTACTTGCTACGTTGTAACGAAACCGTAACAATATCTCACGACTGCATCAAGTGCTCTTTTACGGCTGTGAGCACAGGCCACAGGGATGCGGCGAGTACCATTTCCCCCCTCTCCCTCTCCCTCTCTCTCTCTCATCCTGCTAGCCTCTTTGTTTGAAATCCGAACATATCCCCAGTTGGACTTGTGTCTGCCTGCTGTTCGTCGGCTGTACCTTTACTCTATTCACTATTTTCTTTTCCTAACAGCGCCCGCCTCCCACCGTTCCGTTCTGGTACTCCAAGGAGCGTACGTGGCCCTGCGAATGCCCTTCGTTTTGGCAAGTTGACTTACTGGCTGGCGGCACTCCGGGCATAATTAATTACCACACATTTGCATTCGTAGATGTCTGTTCCCTTTTGTCTCGTTCCATCACACTCGTTTTTCTTCTTCTTCACTCTCTTCTCACTCCTGCCTACACCTCACTGCATCCCACTCCAAACCCTCCCTCGCCTTAGTTCTTTCTTTAACGTGCGCGGGAGCATTTTTTTTAACGAGACCGCTTCGGCGCTTCCGGCCGAATAAAAACACCGCAAAATGGCACCGCAGAGAAAAGTACAGGGATAATGTGAGAGACTGGGAATGTGCGGGAAAAAAAGAAATCACGAAACTTGTTTGGCCCCTGGAGCTTTACGGCTGGCTTGGTACCTCTTTGCCGACTTCCGTCTGGAGCGCCACTGGTGCTGCATTATTCAAATCCACGTGTTATTAGCGTGAGACTGACGAGAGCACTTACCCTGATAATAGTTGTACAGGCTACTCTGACTTACCGGCGATTGCGTAGAGAGGCAAGTTGACGTGGTACCTACAACCGGATCAGGCTTTCGGCGAAGACTGGTGAGGCCGTGTCGAGGACAGAACAAAGCAGAGCAGATTGCAACAAGTAGAATGTGCGACTGTCCATATGGTTATCTGCTGGATGGTGCCTCACTAGCTAAGCTCCACGACCTCAACATGACGATCACATGGGATTATAGTTAGCACAAGTTAGATAGTAGGAAGCACAATGCAAAAATCCTCACAAGAGTGGACTCCGCCGGGCTATGGTAAACTGCTCGGTATACAATAGATGTCTGTAACCGCTAGCTTTGCTCACTTCCTGTTAATCGGCTCAACTCGAACAAAAAACTAACAGGTATTATGAGCGTGCTAGCGTAGCACGTATTTGAACACATCAGTGCTCGCCGTTCTTATGTTTTCCAGCTGTTTGCTGCTTGAATATGATTCACTGTAGGTTTGCCTTTCTACGGGGTGCCTAATCGAACTGGTTTTCGTGCTTACTATTGCAGTAGAACGAAGCAGAATATGCTCATGTCTCACCATAGTTATCGACCAGTGTGACAAGTACGCGTCTACATGAGCGACCTTTCGTAGCACCTCAGCCTATTTATAAATCATGACGATTACGAACTTATCAGCGGATGGGTTCAGAACGGGAGTAACTTGACGCGGAACAATAAATTTAGTAAAAACAAATGTGTTTTCCCAGCATCCAAGTTTGTCCACTTTGTCACTTAATCACTTATCTTTTTCTCACTTATTAACAAACACCATCGTAGATAGCCGGGTATTTCAGATTATCTCGCCGTTGAAATAGCGGCGTAAATGACACCTGAATATGTGTTAGCACGCTATTGGCGACCTTCACAACGGAAGCGGCAAACCTATCCCCACTTGCCGATTCCCCTTAAAGTTTTCTTTGTATCATTTTTTTATTGCTTACTAAGTTTGCTTGTTCAAAAGCGCCGTGCCGCCCAAAACTTTCCGGATGATTGAAACTAACACTGAGCCTTTAGAGCCCTTTCAAACGTCTCAGGATGCGGCGAACGAATTAGCAGAATCAATCAATACTCAACACGTCTACAACATATTAGGCAATCTGGCATAATACAGCATTTGTCATGTCTACAACTTCTAGTTCCTCTCCGTCCCATCTGGCACAGTTGGCCCTCAAAACTTTTCCACTCTACTTTATCAAAAATCTCGAATTATTTGTCGCTTTCTTTTTCTGTCCAATCAACTTTCTCACGCAACTTCTCAGCACTTCCAAGCAGCTAAGCAATAAGACTGTAAACCCAACTTCTGGTCCCGTTAGCTCCTGGTTAACCGCCTGCCTAAACCCTGTCTTTCGACTTCAGCGCAACCCGGCATACAGCCGACTCTGGTTATCGTTACGCTCACGCCCGTACTGTCGTCGTTGGTGGAGGAGAGATATCCACCACAGGTGGCGCTGCGAACGTCCTAAGGCGAGGGGTGTACTCGTTTGTCGACGGAGACACGAGCCCCCAATGGACAACGATTCGGCATTGAGGGTGCTGAAAGTCGGGGGACGCAGTTTGCACAAAGTCGATGCGGTTTCATTTGGTCAAACTTTATTTGCAGTTGTTCAAGTTAGTCGTGTGTCACCTGCACTGAACATGCGTGGAACTTGTTAAACTTTCTGGTTCGGTGGGGGGAACTGAAATGTGGTCCCACAGCTCCGACGGGGTCGAAAAAAACGTTTTGAATGTCAATGTCTGTCATAAATATTTTGTTTCTCGTTACCGCACTAGTCAAGCATTGATTAGGATAGAAGACCCCCAGCATGAACTAAAACGTGATTGACTCTAGATCACTTCGGTTCGTCCTCAGATTTAATAAGGAAACATCTAATCAGAACGGCAATGATGATTTCTAGCGTAATAGAAACTCGGTAAGAAGTGGGAATATGGTGTTTCTGTACAACTATAATAGGTTTATATGGTGAACAGACGACCAGGAATGGACATAGGTAAAAAGCTGGGTCGTTTGAATTTGTTTTACGGGTTGCTTACACTACGAGGTTTTGCACCGTTAGGTTACACAACGTTCGAGCTCAGTCATAGACACACTTCGCTTCGTGACGCCTAGCGATGATACCGAACATAAAAACTCGAAACGCAGAGGCTTCACAAAAAAAACTAATCTTCACGTAGTTTACTTATCTAGAAATGATCATTGTCAGACAATTGCTTTCTCAAAAATCAATTGCGAACCCCATCTAGAAGACTTGCCGCTAAACTTACTATTGATTCTAGCTAAAGCTAAGGAAGAGAACTAAGGGTGAAGTACCATACGATAAGATGACTATTACAGAAATACAATTATTACCGTGAGTTCTATTCTCGTTTCTGTTCTTGTTCAGGTAGTTATTAAAACAACAAGTAACTAAAACAAAAGAACTATCTTATTTCTTGTAAATAGTAAAAGAAGATTGAGAAGAGATTGTATAAGCTGTAATGTAACCCTGCGACAATATTAGTTAGCTATGCAACCCGTTTGTATTGGCCGTTGCAAACTATCAGCTGTCACTTGATAAATTCGAAAATGATGATTCAGTGATCTGAATAGCTGTTACAGGTTTAATGCATAACCTAATTGGTGCTCGTTACTTATGTCAATTCAAATCCTTTGAACCGATCGGCAACTAGTACATAATAATCATTATGTTTATGCCGGATCATGTCGTTGACACCGATGAAAAAAACCCTATATCTTGTTAAATTGCAGTCGGTACTATAGTCATCCAGAGCCTTGTCGATTTCCATAGGCAAGGACCTGCGCCTATTGCATTTGATTTCTGGAGTCGAACTTTTGTTTCAGTATAGGTACAGCGACGGAACGGGCGTAGTAATAGCTCTCAAGTCGGAGGTGACACGCGAAGTAGAAATGGCGGGTCAGGCGCAAATTAAATACGTTTAACGCAATGGGCGACTATGCTGAATAACAAAGACATTGGCGAGCGGACGCCGAGAGCGACTGGATCGTTCGTGGATCCACGTACCGATAGCGGCGATTCTACGAGTGGAAATCGTCTCGAACTTACCTCAAATTCGATAAAATGCCCCCGTCTGCACATTGATGTGCAGACGGGGGCAGAGATTTTATAAGAATTGCCAGTACAGCTTAGATACCGAGACTACAAAAAACTTGCCCATACACAGGAGTGGCAAAATACCTATTATTTAAATTTGCATAAATGAATAAGGATGAGCAGCTGTATGTATGTATGTATGTATGTATGTATGTATGTATGTATGTATGTATGTAAAACCATTTATTCACCAGATTGGTATTTCACCTATTCCGCGAGTAGAATCGATGCTGATATCAGTGAAAGGAATTTGGAGCTAGACGATGAGAACAAATGAGGATATGGAAGTTCGCAAACTTCTCGGTTGGTCTCCACTCTTCTAGCCGCGGCTCTGTTTGTACGGATATTATACACAGTTATCCCATTGTGATCAGTAGCATCTCATACATTACGGATGAGCATCCAAGAAGAAGCGGTGAGTCGTGGTTAAATTTGATACTTGCCTTGTATATGCACATTTGCCAGGTAGCGATAAGATCATAAACAAATAGGACATTTCTAGGACACATTGTGAATCCCTTAGGTGAAATGCAGCGTGATAGTTCCACTGTAGCTGGATCCTACAATTATGCAAAGTAACTTCTGAGCGTTTCTACATGTTTAGGCAGTAGGCCTTCCTATTGCATTGAGTATTTCCCTCCTGGGAGTTTTTTTCGTTCATTGGGGCATGCATATAAACAACTCTTCTTTAGAAGGAAAAAAAATTACAAACCATACCATTATATGAAGCAGGTCCACATGGCCTCTTTTACATATAATGACCGAACAGCAAGCAAGTGGGTATGGAAAGAGAAGCCTTCTTGAGTGGCATGATAACGAATTAGATTCACATCGTTTCAGCCTGTTTTTGTGAACCCCACTAGTTGGCGAACCCACGACTGAATACTTCGTGCTTGCATATATAGGCCATAGGCATACACATCCTATATTGCATTTGTGTCGCACAATGTTTGTATGCCATATATATAGATGGGGTCGCCGAAAAAACTACTAGCCGTTTGAATTTTTTTTTTCATACCTTAAATCAATATTATTAAGTCACATATGTGCCATTTTGATCGATTGCCTTCTGCTATTTATTCAGTAACGTCACTGTCTATAGAAGTTCTATAGCTGCTGAGAACGATATTACGTGTGCGATCAAGTGGTTTCTGCGTTCCTCGATTAAAACAACATTAACACTGTTAAAGGCGTTCTATAGGGACCGAGATGGTTACTATTTTGATCATCGCTACACGGCGGAATACACTGAAATTTCTCTCCATTTCCGAGATATCTTAATTAGCTAAAAGTGCATATGAGCCAAAATGGTAGGAGGCAACTTTTTTTCCCTTTTTTTGGCCTATTCCTAGTAATGTTGTCAGTCGTGGGCGGTAGAGGTCCGAATCGATCGTTTTTACAGGTAACGGCAACTCGCAACGTACGATCTCTTACCGAACATATAGCATCATCTTGTTTGGCGTCAAGCTAGGCTTTTGCACAGATTCTTTATTTACTCAATATTGTCGCCTGTGATACAGTTTTTGTCGACCGCTTTAAAAATGGCTTGACTTTGTTTTGTTTCTGTAATAGAATCTGGCAGATGGGAATACGATCAAGTGAATTATTTGTGTGGCATCCAAACATGTATTTGTTTGTAAACAAAAGATTATTTTGTGGTAGACATTTAATTCTTAGTCGATACCGTGACTGCTCACGTGCCAATCTTATATAATTTCCGTAACAAGGTCGTCACCCTTCTCTATGCTTGGTCTACCACTACGAGAAGCATCTTCCACATCGAGATTTTTAGAACGAAAGCGATAGAACCATCCTCGTTCTTCAAATAACCCTAAATAACACTATTTTTTTTTTGTGGACCGGGGCAGCATTTGTACCTGTATTGTAATCATAGTATTAAGAAGAACAGGTAATTTCCGTAGGAACCTTGTTCGTCTTCGAAGCACTTTATTTTATGCTTGAACAGAGAATTTCCAGTAATTTTATTGCGCTTTACATTTGCTAAATCAGCTTTCAAATTAGGGTTACGACGACTCCATTGGCCTTAAAGCCAATCTAGCTAGAAAAACGGTGAGATCTTTTTCGACAAGCCAATATAGTAGTTTCCTATATTAGTTTGACTTTGTAAGTCGTGTATCACTATCGAGAAATATGGAGGAAGCGGCAACAGGGCAATGAAAACAATATTAATGAAGAGCAGAAAGTAGCGACTGGTAGATGTTGATAACAATTATTTATATATAGTATATATTTCGAGTAGAGTATTACTGGTGATGCAGCAATAGGGATGAACACCGTAACAGTACATCACTGCCTCCTGCTGGAGGTGGTTACCGAGCTTTCTTTGGGCCTATCGGTTAGTAAAAAGTGCATTGACTTGTCGTGCAGGTATAATGGCTTCCACCGGTACATGGAGTGGAACGTTTCAATCTTTCGGCTCGAGCTGTCTAATTACTGTGTTATACTAATTCAACAGAGGTCTGAGACTTTTACTCCTCATAGTAAATTTTATACATTCACCGTTCCCGGTAACGTTCACAATAATCAACCTTTCGACACTCGACATTGCGTCGAACCGACAGTGGCCGTTTCCCTTTTCTGTCTGCGCAGAAGGGACCTCCCACCACTACTGCCGCTACCTTCCGGTAAGAAGAAGAAGAAGAAAAAAACACTACCCTGCCCGAAAGGACGAAACCAAGTTCGTTAGAAAAGACAGAGCAACGAGCACGACCTCTCACGATGTAACTATACACACTAGAATTGTTGCGGGACTTTTCAGTGCTGAGCGAAATATTTTCGCCGAGCTACTTCATGGGTTTAGTGAGCCGGGAACGGTAACACAAACTGTACAACTAGTTCAGACTTATACACGTTCACGCCCGAAAAAAACCTGCCGATCAGACAGCAGAACAGCCTGTTAAGATCAGTGATTT